TCACATTTTATCACATTTTAAATCATTTATCAACAATAATCTTTATTACAAAATGATTCAAAAGAAATGATTAAAAGAATTATAGCACGTTACTTTCCCGATCGAGGACAATGGATGATAATTGATCCATCATTACTGACAAATAAAAAAGTGAAAACATCAAATGTTAATCTTTAACTTGAACCATATAAATTAATTGGTTTTACTGTGCTTGGTATACTTGAAGGTGAACATATAACAACAGAAGATTTTGATACTTATTTTGATAAAATAAAAAGACAAGAAATTGAACAAGAAAAAGAAGAAAAAAGAATTAATCGTGAAAGAAATCGAACTGAAAATGATCGTAATCAACAAAATGGAAATAGTGGACGTCGAAAATCACCATAAAATACCATGCGAATTAGTGCTGATGATTTTGATAGTTAATCATATACAAAAGTTATCCGATTACTTTTATATTTATTTTTATTAATAATCAAAACCACTAATCCAGAGTATGTGTTGAATGTTTTTTCACAAAAAGAAAACTTGAAATATGATCGATTAATTTTATCTCTATCCTCATAGTGCTTTTCGTACACCTAAAGCACTGTTACAATAGGGGCAATAATGAGTTGTTTTTTTAAATACTGGCACACACAATGGAATCCAAAACAAACAAAAAGTGCAACAAAGGAAGAGCAGAACACACATCCAAGTCACAGGTGTCATTTCTGCTTTCACACGTGTTTCTACTGTGGCACCACATCGTGGACAAACAAGCCCAACCGGTTTTCGTGGCCATTCGTTTTTGCTAGGAGGAAGTGTTCCTGGACCTGTTGGATACATTGTTGATAAGTCTAAAAATAGAATTCTTACATTCTCGTATGAAAACAAGATTAGAATTTTACTTTGATTGTTATATACAGGTTGTGGCTGTTGTTGTGTAGGTGCCGAACGAGGTGTTATTTGGAAACTCATCGCATACGTAGGTGGTAGTTGTTGAGGAGCTACCTGATATATTGGTTCTGGTTGTGGATTGATATTCATGTAATTATCAGGTTGAAACTGTTCGTATGCACCGGAATATGTCGGTTGTGAATAGTAATTATTAGATAGAGACTCATAATAGGAAGGTTGTTGTAAATTATTGTCCATCGTTACTTCAGATACTTTTCACAATAAATACGAGTTATAAGCGCTCTACGATAATATAAATGACACGCACGTGATGATGTTTTTTATTTATTTAACATGACATCCATTCAACTGTAACGAAGACTACCATTATGTGTTGCTTACACTCACCTTGTGTGCATTAAAATTTTTCATGAGAGCAATTTAAAACAACTGCCTTAGTTATTATGTTCTATAGAATATAATTTCAAACTTATTTAGTTTCTGGAATAAAAAAAGATTCCGACGCCGGGAATCGAACCCGGGCCTCCTGCGTGAAAGGCAGAAATCCTAACCACTAGACCACGTCGGACTATTATTAATATGTTGATATATGAATTATCTTTCTTAGTTATTCTTGGATAAGTGGCAGAAAAATTTGACTATGAGTAGTTTTAGAGAGAAATGATTTAGAAGTTAGAAATCAAACATGGGTATCCTGTATGTAAGGTAGA